GAATGTAGAGGGAGTCGAACCTCCTGCCACACAGCACTACACAATAGTGGAATGTAGAGGGAGTCGGACCTCCTGCCACACAGCACTACACAATAGTGGAATGTAGAGGGAGTCGAACCTCCTGCCACACAGTACTACACAATAGTTGAATGTAGAGGGAGTCGAACCTCCTGCCACACAGCACTACACAATAGTGGAATGTAGAGGGAGTCGGACCTCCTGCCACACAGTACTACACAATAGTGGAATGTAGAGGGAGTCGGACCTCCTGCCACACATTTTCCTTCCTCCGTAGGCAGAACTTTTTTGCTTTCTAAATATATTTCAAGGATGTTGCATCATCAAAGTAAATAACCCTGAAGACAGAAGTTTCTATTTATCATGAATTTATTTGTCAGAGACTTTGTGGATACAATATTTATTTGGGTTGGTATATCTTAGCCCACCATCCCGTGATCAAATCCCCCTTTGTCCACTTCCATCGTCCATCTTTAAACAATGTTGTTAGTGCTAGAAAACCAGTCAAAATTTGATATTGCTTAATATCTTGTTGAAAAATATTGGTTTATGGAATATCCACATGGACTAGTAAAAATTGGACACTACTACCCAAATTGATCAGTGGTATTCAAAATTAATTTCTAGACCTAATATGAAGGTTGCCCATGGTCCACAGTTTTGCATGTTTGACTTTGTACAGGTAAATATATTTCAAATATATAGGTATGAATATTTTTTTTATACAGGTATGAATGTTTTTCATATACAGGTATGAATATTTCTTATATGCAGGTATAAATATTTCAAATATATGGGTATAAATATCTCAAATGTATAGATAAAGATATTTCACATATACAGGTATTAATATTTCTTATATACAAGCATTAATATTTTTAATATACGGTCATATATATCTCAAATATATGGATAAAGATATTTGAAATAAACATTTCAAAATTCAGTTTCAAATATTTCATGTGAAGTATTCATTTCTAGAAAAAGTAAAAGATTGTGTATTACTCGTATATATATTATTGACATTTAATCACAAATATTGCATTGTCACCTTTATCAAACTTTTTTTTCACACTTTAAATTGATCCATAAATATTTACACAAAAAATCAATAACTGAACTGCTCTAAAGTGCAAAATTGTTGAAAATCTTTTTTAAAGAATTCACTCAGAGATCACATCAAGGTGTAGTGAATCGGAGATCCAAAACTGTACAAGTATGGGTCAAAGAAGTAATATAGACGGTAAAATCCCATATAACACTGGATCCTAATGGAGGTATATATACAGACTGTTTTATACTGTCTGAAAAGCATTAGAAAAGACAGTCTGAATGTGTTTCTCCAAATAATGGAGAGACAAAAAAACTGAAAAGTAATGGAACACAGGAACAAAGAATATCACCTACAGCTACTGGCCATTTTGATTGTTGTATAAAATAACAGGAACGTCCCTTTAGATTTTTGTAGACAGCTAGTAGAAGTGATTTTGTTATGCTGTATATTTGGACAGTAATATTGGCCATTACAGTATTTCATGTATTTTGTTTTTCAGCACAATCCCATCCACCGACCAATGTCACAGCTGTGTACGTGGCTGATGGTACCATCAGGCTTACCTGGGAACCTCCCACCACAGGGCGGGGAATTCAAAAATATTACGTCTCAGTCCAGGAGACAGCTGAATATGTTCATGTCTCAGCTGATCAACGTGTGTACCAGTACAACAACACCAAACCGAACGCAACGTACACTTTTAAGGTGTCTACTATCATATCTGGTAGAATCCAAGGCTCATCTCAGAGTAGCGTCACCACACGTAAGTACTGTAGCACCTTAGTTCATATTCAGTATGTAACTATGTACAAACAACCCAAAGTTAAGTCTCTAATTGACTATGTATGAACTGCCAGGAGTTGTCATACATACTGAGTATGTATGTATGACAACCAGGAGTTGAGTCCCCTGACTGAGTACATTATGTGTATATGACAACCAGGAGTTGTGTCTCCTGACTGAGTGTGTAGGACAACCAGGAGTTGTGTCCCCTGACTGAGTGTGTAGGACAACCAGGAGTTGTCCCCTGACTGAGTACATTATGTGTGTATGACAACCAGGAGTTGAGTCCCCTGACTGAGTACATTATATGTGTATGACAACCAGGAGTTGTGTCCCCTGACTGAGTATGTATGACAACCAGGAGTTGTGTCCCCTGACTGAGTGTGTAGGACAACCAGGAGTTGAGTCTCCTGACTGAGGATGTTTGACAACCAGGAGTTGAGACCCCTGACAGAGTATGTATGACAATCAGGAGTTGTGTCCCCTGACTGAGTATGTATGACAATCAGGAGTTGTGCCCCTTGACTGAGTATGTATGACAATCAGGAGTTGTGCCCCTTGACTGAGTATGTATGATAACCAGGAGTTGTGTCCCTTGACTGAGTATGTATGACAACCAGGAGTTGTATCCCCTGACTGAGTATGTATGACAATCAGGAGTTGTGTCCCCTTCACTATATTTCAAATTGACCTTTTTTAGGTTTCTGTCAGTTTAGTAGTCATTTGAGAGATTTTGGTGATTACCTCTATTTTTTGTAATTAACTCTATTTCTTAGTCCACCATCTATCCATGGTTGGCTATTAGTATCGGCTGTCATCCAAGAATTGAACAAATCTTATTGATATGACTCAGGAAGTACTGAGCAGATCTTTCTCATATTTCATATCTAGGTTTCCCTTGATCAGTTGTTGTGCATGTTTCATTTTGAGACTGACCCAAGAAACAAGATGGCCACCCAGCAGCGATCTTGAATTTGAGAGATATACGTTTTTGATATATCCTATTTCTAAAAAGTCTTTCTCCTATTTCATGTGTAGATTTCCCATGGTCCAGCATTGATCATGCTTGATTTAAGGACTGAACAGAAAAAAGAATGGCTTACAGGCAGCCATCTTGGTTTTTGAAAGTTCAAGAATGTTATCATTATTTCTCAAGAAATGTTTCTCAGATGTTTCTCACTTTTTGTTTTTGATGTTCCCAATGGTCCATAAATGTGTTTAATTATGGGACTAATCAGAAAAACAAAATGGCCGACTGGCAGCAGTCTTGGATTTTGAGAGTTCAAGTTTGTTATCGCTATTTATTAACAAATCAACAATGACCTTACTTTGAAAGAAAACTTTCATACCCAGCTGTCTCAAATCTAAATGAAAAAATACCACAAGATGCATCACAGAACTAATGACGATCTTACTATGATGGGTAAAGCTCAGATATAACAGAACTAATGACGATCTTACGATGACGGGTAAAGATCAGATATAACAGAACTAACGACAATCTTACAATGATGGGTAAAGATCAGATATAACAGAACTAATGACAATCTTACTATGATGGGTAAAGCTCAGATATAACAGAACTAATGACAATCTTACAATGATGGGTAAAGATCAGATATAACAGAACTAACGACAATCTTACAATGATGGGTAAAGATAAGATATAACAGAACTAATGACGATCTTACAATGATGGGTAAAGATAAAATATAACAGAACTAATGACGATCTTACGATGATAGGAAAAGCTCAAATATAACAGAACTAATGACAATCTTACAATGATGGGTAAAGCTCAGATACAACAGAACTCACGACAATCTTCAGATACAACAGAACTAATGGCAATCTTACTATGATGGGTAAAGCTCAGATATAACAGTAACGACAATCTTACAATGATGGGTAAAGCTCAGACAAAACAGAACTATTGACGATCTTACGATGATGGGAAAAGCTCAGATATTACAGAACTAATGACGATCTTACGATGACGGGTAAAGATCAGATATAACAGAACTACCGACAATCTTACAATGATGGGTAAAGCTCAGATACAACAGAACTCACGACAATCTTCAGATACAACAGAACTAATGGCAATCTTACTATGATGGGTAAAGCTCAGATATAACAGTAACGACAATCTTACAATGATGGGTAAAGATCAGACATAACAGAACTAATGACAATCTTACTATGGGGGGTAAAGATCAGATACAACAGAACTAATGACAATCTTACTATGGTGGGGAAAGATCAGATACAACAGAACTAATGACAATCTTACTATGGTGGGGAAAGATCAGATACAACAGAACTAATGACGATCTTACAAAGATGGGTAAAGATCAGATATAACAGGACTAATGACGATCTTACGATGATGGGTAATGATCAGATATAACAGAACTAATGAAGATCTTAGGATGATAGGTAAAGCTCAAATATAACAGAACTAATGACAATCTTACAATGATGGGTAAAGCTCAGATAAAACAGAACTAATGACAATCTTACTATGGTGGGTAAAGATCAGATACAACAGAACTAATGGCAATCTTACTATGATGGGTAAAGCTCAGATATAACAGAACTAATGACAATCTTACAATGATGGGTAAAGCTCAGACAAAACAGAACTATTGACGATCTTACGATGATGGGAAAAGCTCAGATATTACAGAACTAATGACGATCTTACGATGATGGGTAAAGCTCAGATATAACAGAACTAATGACGATCTTTCAATGATGGGGAAAGCTCAGATATAACAGAACTAATGACAATCTTACAAGGATGGGAAAAGCTCAGTTATAACAGAACTAATGACAATCTTACGATGATGGGTACAGATCAGATATAACAGAACTAATGACAATCTTACTATGATGGGTTAAGATCAGATACAACAGAACTAATGACGATCTTACTATGATGGGTTAAGATCAGATATAACAGAACTAACGACGATCTTTCGATGATGGGTAAAAATCAGATATAACAGAACTAATGACAATCTTTCAATGATGGGTAAAGATCAGATATAACAAAACTAATGACAATCTTACTATGATGGGTTAAGATCAGATATACCAGAACTAATGACGATCTTACGATGATAGGTAAAGCTCAAATATAACAGAACTAATGACAATCTTACTATGATGGGTTAAGATCAGATATAACAGAACTAACGACAATCTTACAATGATGGGTAAAGATCAGATATAACAAAACTAATGACAATCTTACTATGATGGGTTAAGATCAGATACAACAGAACTAATGACGATAGATATTACAGAACTAATGACGATCTTACGATGATAGGTAAAGCTCAAATATAACAGAACTAATGACAATCTTACTATGATGGGTTAAGATCAGATATACCAGAACTAATGACGATCTTACGATGATAGGTAAAGCTCAAATATAACAGAACTAATGACAATCTTACGATGATTGGTAAAGATCAGATATAACAGAACTAATGACAATCTCACTATGAAGGGGAAAGATCAGATATAACAGAACTAATGACGATCTTACGATGATAGGTAAAGCTCAAATATAACAGAACTAATGACAATCTTACAATGATGGGTAAAGCTCAGACAAAACAGAACTATTGACGATCTTACGATGATGGGAAAAGCTCAGATATAACAGAACTAATGACGATCTTACTTTGATGGGTAAAGATCAGATACAACAGAACTAATGACGATCTTACTTTGATGGGTAAAGATCAGATATAACAGAACCAACGACGATCTTACGATGATGGGTAACTTACAATGATGGGTAAAGCTCAGACAAAACAGAACTATTGACGATCTTACGATGATGGGAAAAGCTCAGATATAACAGAACTAATGACAATCTCACTATGAAGGGGAAAGATCAGATATAACAGAACTAATGACGATCTTTCAATGATGGCTAAAGATCAGATATAACAGAACTAATGACGATCTTACTTTGATGGGTAAAGATCAGATACAACAGAACTAATGGCAATCTTACTATGATGGGTAAAGCTCAGATACAACAGAACTAACGACAATCTTTCAATGATGGGTAAAGATCAGATATAACAAAACTAATGACAATCTTACTATGATGGGTTAAGATCAGATATACCAGAACTAATGACGATCTTACGATGATGGGTAAAGCTCTGATATTACAGAACTAATAACGATCTTACGATGATGGGTAAAGATCAGATATAACAGAACTAATGACAATCTCACTATGAAGGGTAAAGATCAGATATAACAGAACTAACGACGATCTTACGATGATGGGTAAAGATCAGATATAACAGAACCAACGACGATCTTACGATGATGGGTAAAGATCAGAAACAACAGAACTAATGACGATCTTACTATGATGGGTTAAGATCAGATATAACAGAACTAATGACGATCTTACGATGATGGGTAAAGCTCAGATATAACAGAACTAATGACAATCTTACGATTATGGGTAAAGCTCAGATATTACGGAACTAATGACGATCTTACGATGATGGGTAAAGCTCAGATATAACAGAACTAATGACAATCTTACGATTATGGGTAAAGCTCAGATATTACGGAACTAATGACGATCTTACGATGATGGGTAAAGCTCAGATATAACAGAACTAATGACAATCTTACTATGATGGGTAAAGCTCAGATATAACAGAACTAATGACGATCTTACGATGATGGGTAAAGCTCAGATATAACAGAACTAATGACAATCTTACTATGGTGGGTAAAGATCAGATACAACAGAACTAATGACAATCTTACTATGATGGGTAAAGCTCAGATATAACAGAACTAATGACAATCTTACTATGATGGGTAAAGCTCAGATATAACAGAACTAATGACGATCTTACGATGATGGGTAAAGCTCAGATATAACAGAACTAATGACAATCTTACGATTATGGGTAAAGCTCAGATATTACGGAACTAATGACGATCTTACGATGATGGGTAAAGATCAGATACAACAGAACTAATGATGATCTTACTATGATGGGTTAAGATCAGATACAACAGAACTAATGACGATCTTACTATGATT